TCATTGTCCACCATTTAGAAATCAACATTTTCCCGGGGAGTACTCGAACCTCCCTTTCTCTGGGTTCATTGATTCATTATAATAATTTTCAAGAGGGGAACACCTTGAATTTTGAAGAACTTGAAAGTAATTAAGTTTTCCATTCTTAAAAACATTCAGATAATTTTTTCCCATTGTTAATACAGTAAATAGGCCTTATGTGTGTATACATACATAAAAAAAGATTGAGTAAGTTGCATACCGTACGTAGTTTTTCCATGAATCGATAAATCCCAAAAAGAAAGGTTGGGGTGGGGGGAGGTCCTGTGGTTCTTCCCCGGGAAAATTTTGATTCCTAGGTGGCGGAAAATGAGCTTTCCCGACTTCTGTGGTGTCTTTTAATGACTTTCAAATTCTTCAAAATTCAAGGTCCCCCCACCCCTTGAAAATGATTCAATTAATCAATGAACTCCAAAGATAATGGGGGTCCGGGTTCCCCCGGAAAAATTTTGATTTCTAGATGGCGGGAGATGAGCTTTTCGACTTCTAAAGTTCAACAAAATTCAAGGTTTTCCCCTCTTGAAAAAGGTCAGGTAAATTTTTCTCATTTTCCATTTTATGTGTGTATACATACGGTACATAAACAAATGAGTAGTTGCATGCGTATTCTTTTTTCCATGAATCGATAAATCCCAAAAAGAAAGGGTGGTCCGGGGGTTCTCCCCCGGGAAAATTTTGATTCCTATATGGCGGGAATTGAGCTTTCCCGACATTTGAAGTGTGTTTTAATGAATTTTATGTTTTTCAAAATTCTAATTTTCTAATAGCAACAAAAAACCGTATTGTGAATTATGAATAATTTTATTTTTCTCTAAGTAGCTACAGTATGAAGCCTATTATACACAATACGCTCACGAATTTTAGGTAAAGAAGGATGAATGGATGTAGGTCTATAGTACTGAAAATAGCTTTATGTCCATGACGTCTAGGCCTATGCCTACTGGCACCTATTCTTAATTTGAGTTAGATAAATGGAAATTCCTAGAGACAAATTTAACGGTATCCGATACCTGAATACCTAATACTACATGCCTGAATACCCAATAATATACACAATGCAGTAGCGAACACCCCCCTCCCACCCTTAAAAAAATACCCCAGTCTCCCCCCAAAATCACGGTCAAGTAGTTAAAAATCACCCCTCAACTGATCATCGAGCCCTCCACTTCCCCCATCAGCACCCTCCCCCAATTGAAGACTTCTAGATACGCCACTGAGCAATGTGATTTCATTCTTACCTTTTATGCTCCACTAAATTTTATAATGATCGATTCAATAGTTTTGCGAACCTTGCTAACAGTCAAACAAACACGCAGCACGAGAGACAGACACGCCGACACCCAACCCGACAGAACGACAGATAAAGACAGACAAAGTGACAGACAAACAGCGATCAATCTTAAAGCCTATATACAATATTGGTGTAGTTATTGTACACAGATGTGTATAAGAGACAGGTGTATTAGGTTCCCCGTCGGGGAGTGCTCCCCCCCCCCCGTCGGGGAGAAAAAGCACGTCAATTCGTCGGGGAGAAAAACAAATTATATGTATTTTCTACACATTTAGTAGACACCAAAATCGATTAAATAGGACTTCGAAACCCCTAAATTGTTAAAATGTTGGGGTACTTCGCCCCCTGGACCAGTTTTGAAACCTCCCCTTGTCGGGGACATCGGAGACCTCCCCCCACCCCTCCGTCAGGCAAATCCTGGCGCCACCCCTGAATGTACATAGTGTATTTGTTTTTTGTTTTTTATTTCATATATTCTTGAAGCAATCTTGAATGAGAAACCATCCGAAGAACTGGGAGACGGACTTAAATGATTTAGTGTGAGACTCCGCTACAGATAAGCTAGTGCCATCGTGACTTTGAATTCAAAATTCCACAATTAGTTTCCGCGTTTGAACACCTAAGCTATTTCTACTCGGATATTATTATCGGCATTTTGCCAGGACCATGGGCCAAAATCCAACAAGAGCAGAGCCCTTAAGGACCAGAACATGTAAAATCAATCAAAATGATTGATATTTAACTATATTACAGTCTTTTTATAAAACGTATCAATATTAGACCTACATTTTTTTGCAAGATTTCTAACATGTTGCTTTGAAAAAACCCTTGGTCCAGCCTCCACACAGGCAGACTGGAGTAGCTCAAGTAGGTCTGCTTAAGCTAGCCTAAAAATCGGGAGGGTAGAAGATGGCTAAAATCGGGAAAACTATAATGGTAGGTTTCGGAATCATTTTAAAATACGACTGGAAATTGTAAAATTGGGAAAATAAAAGGTCGATAAATATTTCAAATAATAATAATAATAATAATAATAATAATAATAATAATAATAATAATAATAATAATAATAATAATAATATTAATAATAATAATATTATTATTATTATTATTATTATTATTATTATTATTATTATTATTGTAGAATCGCGAAAATATAGGGCAGCGAAAATAAAGGGATTTACAACCTCAAACCAACAGATTTCAGACCAAGACCCTTCGGACCAAAAGGCCCTTCGGTCTAAAGAACCTTCAGTCGAATTCCCTGGCACTTTCCTCACAAAGTGTACAACAAAACAAATAATTTGTCGGAGATGAAAAAATATAATTATAAAACGTTTTATTAAATGTTGGCCTGAGGGGGAAAATCCATTTGTCAAGATGCCCTCTATGAACATAAATAAGCCTTCATACACAGACGGAAAAATACAATATAGTAACAAGAGATTGTTAAATTTGTTTCTCTTTTTACATTATGTTTTTGAACTTTTCTTACAGGTTGTGCTGCCAATCCATACTTAACGGTTCTTAATGTTGGGTCAGCTTTTTACAATAAAGGCGAGCTACAGTGCTACCCAACTGATAATAGCACAACAATATCCATGGGAAAGGTATTTAAAATATCTAATTCTGACTCGCTTGCTGAACCACATCTAGAAGTTCAGAGTGTATATACTCCTTTTGCCAAAAAAGTAGCTATACCTTATGATGGAAACTTCTTTGGAGTATATTACTGTGAAGGTGTACTTAATGGGGAAAAAACCACTGTGAAAACTACAGTTGTGGATCTAGATGGCGCTTCAAATTGTAAGTATCCCTGTGTTACTCTTAATCCCAAGGCAGTGGCTATTGTAACACCAGTCTCGCAAACGATTTCTAAATTCTGACTAACAATCGACCACATCTTCTACCACTGCCCTGACTTTAGATCACTCAAAAGAGAACTGGGACTCCAAGACCTAGATGATGAAGACACAATGACCTTGGCATGGCATCGAGTGACCATACTACCAGGGAACAGTAATTTAACTATTCCTTGGTACTACCCACCTAATGTTGATTCTCAAAGGATATTAAAGTAGAAGATTAATAATAATAATTTGTGAAAAGTTGGATTAAACTAGCAGTTATGATTGTGGTTGTCTGTTTTTTTTTTTTTTTTTTTTTTTTTTTTTTTTTTTGTTTCTGCTTAGAAAAAAAGATGTTTAACATAAAAAGGAGAAAACAAAAATATCCGACATTGTAACTGTGGAGGGGGTTGTTTGACAGTGTTAACTGCTTATAGTTTAGTCATGTGTTGCCATTATTGAGAGCACCATCTTTACCAAGTGTTAGTAAAGGTCTGAAATGTGTCTCCTTTATTTATATATTGGATTTTCTTTATAGAGGTATGAGCTGGTACAATCATAATTAGGTAAATATAAATTACAATATTCTTAAAATATTGTCTAAATTAATTATCTTAATAAAAATACAGATTACACGTTTCTGACTAAGTAGGTCATGGTTTTATTTTTTGTTAGGCCTAACAACAAAAACAACAATGATAATAATGAAAATGATAACATAATGATAAAATAATAATTATCTAAGAATTTATGAACCATTTTTTTGTCCAGCGGAGGTTATACCAACAAACGAAAGAACAAGTATCACCGCTTCTGTTGGAGAATCTGTTATAGTATCATTCGATGTGACAGCGTCCGGTAATCACATTTGGAGGAAAGATGGTGAACTGCTGGATAACTATGAGAACCATTATGATGAGTCGAGCTTAAGTTTTACCAGTGTAAAAGTTGATGATGGCGGCATGTATGAACTTCACATAGATGGACAAAGGGATGAATACAAACATTCCTTTATTGAACTGATTGTGAGAGGTTGGTTATTGCTTTTTTGGTACTTGAATAAAAGTTTGAAATATTTCTTTATTCTGCTGGAGAATATCAAATGGAGCACTAAAATAATAATGTTACACATTGTATAACATTATGGACACCCCCCACCCCCCGTACAAAGTAAATGAGAGCCAGGAAAAAAGATAATAGAAAAATGATAGAGAGAGAGAAAAAATTAAGGGGAGGCTACTCATCCACAAGTCCGGTAATATTATAGACCTCAAATGATCCCTAACCATATTTTTCTGTGGATCCGCCCCTATGACAACCTACACACATATAACATGGTATAAGCTCACTGCTGCAGAGCACTCAAAATACAGAACATTTTTGGAGTAAGTAATATTATGTTTTCCTAAGCTCATATTAAATGCATACTGTACAACTACAAAATGGCCAGTGCTGCTTATAGTAGTCTTGGATATACAAAAGGTATTTGGGATTCCATTGTTTAAAACCTTCAATAGTTAATGGCATCTGTTTACAGTGTAATTATCTTAACACATTTTAAATGAACACCATGTAGACTCTTTTTGTATTATTTTTTAATTCATAATAGTGTTAGATTTTTCTAACCTCACTATTTAGTTCGTATAAAATTAAACCTAAATGTATTTTATTATTATGTAAAAAAAATATGAGATTTTTTTTCATTCAGAATGTGCAGCTGGCCGCTGGGGTGCACCTGAATGTACAGGTATTTGTAATAATTGTTATAATGGTGGCGTATGCGATGACAAGTCAGGTAACTGTATTTGTGCACCAGGGTTTAAAGGAGAAAGCTGCGAAGATAGTAAGTCAAAACGAGTTGTTTTGGTTTTTCATATCTACATCAAGGTATCTTTTTAGAACTTGCATAATAATCATTTTCTGCTGTTATGATAGAAGAGAAAAATAAAAGAAAGAAAAGATAAAAAAAAAGTAAAAGAAAATAATGAAAAGATAAAGAAAGGAACGAAATCAATGAGAAAAAATGAAAAAGAGAAAAAGAAAGAAAAACGAATTAGAAAGGAAAAGAAAGAGAAATAAAAAGTAAGAAAAGCTAAAGAAAGATAAATATGAAAACAAAAGTTTAAAGGGAATAAAGGAAAAGAATGGCAAAAACTGAAAAGAAAAGAAGAAGGTAAATAAAGAGAAATTAAAGAATAAGAAGTTTGAAAAGAAAAGAAAAGACAAATAATGGGAAAAAAAATTGGAAATAATGGACCAAGAAAGGAAAATGTATAAGAAAGGAAAGGAAAAAAAGATATGGTAAAGAAAGAGATTACTGGAAAGTAAATGAAAAAGTAAACAGAAGGTAGTAATGAAAAGGAAGGAAAAGGGAAGAAAAGACATGAAAAATGGAAAAGTAAGGTAATAAGAACAAGAAGGCAAATACTTAAAATTATTTAATTAAATAAATAAATGTGATGACTATTCTTTATAAATAAACCAGTATTCATTTCCAGGACGTTTTCTTTCAGACTATCTAATACTGGTTTATTTATATAAAAAAAATAATCACATTATACTATTTCAAAAACCAGATGAAATTGTTTAATCATCAAGCTAACAATATTTACATAGTTGATATTCACTATTTTTTTTAAATTAGGTAAATTGTTAAATAATTTATCTCACTCCCTTCTGTATAGCACATAGAGGTATTTAAATTATGAGCTTATAAATTCACAATTATTATTATTATTATCGTTATTATTATTATTATTATTATTATTATTATTATTATTATTATTATTATTATTGTTATTATTATTATTATTATTATTGTTATTATTTATTATTGTTATTGTTATTATTATTATTAATATTATTGGCTTTTCCTTGCAGTACTCGTTTTTGTTGAGATTTTTTCCCCTTTTTTCTTGCATATATTTTCCCTATCTTTTTGCACTGTTTTTTCTGGTCATTACTTTGGTCACTTCCCATGCTTAGAATTTGTCTGTGCTTCGCCGAAGCATAGGCCATATTATATCAAGGATGTGCCTCCTAATATTTAGTGCCAATCTATGGTGGGATGTGCGTGTGAGGACTAACGAAAGTGATTTAAGGTCAAAGTCTATACACCGGATATTTCAAAAACTGGTCAGTTGATGTGAATGAAACTTACGAGAAAGTTTTATGTGTTAGTATCGATCCAGTGAAGGATGTAAAGTTGAGGGTCTTTTCAATTTTTGATGACCCAGACCTAAATATTTCTTTTTAAAATATGGGTCTAAATGAAACATTCTGCAATACATTGTAAAGGTCTAAAAAAAATGATTAAATTTTTGTGACGATCCGCAGTATGGTGTGGATCGATCTGAGGACCATTTAAAGGAAAACGCCCCAGACCACACACCCCAGACCACATATTTTGAAATATTTGAATGAAACCTTCGAAAAAAGTTTAACCAAGTTACAAGGGGCCTGTTTCTGCTGCCAAAAAAATACCATAATTATATATACGGTATTTTTAAAATACGGTATTTTTTTGCGCAGCTGAAATAAAATTATACCGTATTTTATATACCGTATTTTTTATTTTTGTGAAATTTACATTGCAACAGATACCGTATTTTTCATACCCCATTTCTGCTGCCTATGAAAATACCGTATTTTGTATGACCTCTGACATGAGGTCAAGAGCCGACAGAGCATGACACTGGTTGTGTTTTGTTTTTTCTGTCATCTTGTCAAAATAGATGAAACCAAAATTACAACGTTTTTTTTAAAAGAAACAATGTTTATTGAGAAGAAGAAAACTCACACAGGTCAATCCAAACTTCCGTCTCACGAAAGACATTTTGGGAAATAAAGAGGACCTTTTAAAGAAGACCACCCAAGAAATATTTTAGCAGAAACGGCACACTGGATTTCAGATACCGTATTTTACACGGTATACTTTATACAGTACCGTATTTTTAGGAAAAGCAGCAGAAACAGGCCCAAGGAAGAAATTATGTGCTGGCGACGTATCTATAAAAAGTTTTCAATGGGTGCAAATGAAACTTTCTATAATATTTTGTAAAGGTCCAGTAAAGAAATGATTGAATTTTTGTGATGATCCGGCGTATGGGTGTGAATATGAGGACTAATTTAAAGGAAAACGTCCCAGACTAGATATTTCAAAAACGGGTCAACTGATCCGAATGAAACTTTCGGGAAAGTTTAACCCAAGTTACAAGGAAGATAGGTCTAGGGGACGATCCAGGTTAGGGTGTAGATTTGAGGGTCATTGAAATTCCTCACATCCCATTTATAGATTGTTAAAAATGACACATTGCAGAATAGTTTTTAATGGTGAAATGAAGAAATGATCCGATTTTGGTGACGATCCGCAGTAGGGTGTGGATTGAGGACCATAACAATATTTTTTGTTGACAGTTGATTAAATAATGTAAACGCATTTTGCGTTTTCTAAAGCGCTTAAACCAGTTACAGCTAGGTTAAACTAAATACTACCCAGATATGCATGAACAATTTTGTTTTCAGTCATTGAATCGCTATGAACTGAAAATGCACTTTCCTATTCAAGGTCGTTGCCGTCATAGCTCAAGTCACACTAATAGCGTCACAGTGAGCTTACATCTAGATGTGTATAAGAGACAGCATCAAGCTAACAATATTTACATAGTTGATATTCACCATTTTTTTTAAATTAGGTAAATTGTTAAATAATTTATCTCACTCCCTTCTGTATAGCACATATAGGTATTTAAATTATGAGCTTATAAATTCACAATTATTATTATTATTATTATTATTGTTATTATTATTATTATTATTATTGTTATTATTATTATAAAGCAATCGGGAAAAGCCCTACGTTCTGTTGTTCATGTAAGTCTAGTTATTATTATTATTATTATTATTATTATTATTATTATTATTATTATTATTATTATTATTATTATTATTATTATTATTTTCATTATTATTATTATTATTATTATTATTATTATTATTATTATTTTCATTATTATTATTATTATTATTATTATTGAAATATTATCAATGAATAGAAATAAATATATTCACTGATAAGTCATTGATTTTTTTTTTCAATATAGCTTGTGGTGGTAATCGATTCGGACTTTACTGTGAAATTAGATGTACATTCAGACCTGAAGATCCTAAAGACTTTTGTAAACGCCACCATTATTGCTTGCCTAATCCTTATGGATGTACCTGTATAACAGGTTTTACTGGCCTTGATTGTTTAACAGGTAAGTCTACGTTTCATGTATGCCTACTGTTTATGTAGTTATCAGTAAGTGCATATGGTACAAAACCTTCAATATAAATGTCGTGAGTCAAAGTCTGATGTGGTGACACTGCTTGTGTCCCTGGTCAAAACATTATCAATCTTCGTCCAGAATTATAAATGGGTAAATGGTTAAAATTCGTTGGAATTAATCATTCTGTGTTGGTGTTGCGAAAAAAACTTACATTTGGCTGATTATAATTATGTAACAAATATCCTTGGTAGAAAAAGTATATTTTTGGAGGAAAAGAGGAAAGCACACATATAAATGTGCATATAATAGATATTAAAATATATTTTATTTTAAAGAAATTTTCTTATTGATTGTGGTTATATCAGTTATTGTGGGCCCTAAATATGAATTCACAAATTTAACTTTAATGTAAATATGTACTATTCCTTTTGTTAAAAAGCAACAAGAAAACTTGGATTAAGATCATGGGGACTCGTGAAGTGCATTTATACTTTAACAGCTTAACCATAGGCGCTAGTTCGAGCCGCTCTTCGCCCAAACTTGGCTTGGTAGAACCAAGTTTACTCAGAAAAGAACTTAAAACAGATGTCCAGTGAAACTCATCTGGCTCGGTACTTTAAAGAACACAATGCATTGTTCAGATAAGTAGGGATTTCCCTAGGCTATGGTTAATTTCAGACACTGTCGTTGTAGAATTATATGTGCACTTGAAGTTACTATAAGCACGCATTTATTAATATTATTATTATTATTATTATTATTATTATTACTGTATTATTATTATTATTATTATTATTATTATTATTATTAGCGACCAATCATTATTATTATTAGCGACCAATCATTATTATTATTAGCTCCGGTGAGAAACTTGGTTGATTGATTCGGCGGACGTGCCGGAATGTTTTACAGATAAACTAGAGGCTATTTCCAACAAACGTTCATTGCCCTTTCTTAAGTTGCACCCCAGTGTGCTCCAGACACTCAAAACAAATCAGGGGTTTCAGCTAGGACTGTACACTACTGCCACTACCACTATTATAGGCCTACACGTCGCATGGATGGCGCGGTCGGTTAACCGCGCCATCCATGCGATGGTTCTAAGAAACTAAAGAGTGTTCGCATCGCGTCTTGTATTCTATTGTTAATTTTTAAAGGCATTTTAATTTTGTACAAATGATTTAATCTAATTATTTAAAAAATTCTCTCTTATTATGATGAACTACAGAGAGTACTTGGTGGATTGATTAACTAATTAATAGATCTTTGCGAAGTGCCCCACCAATACCAAGGACTGTACATGCTACCGCTGTACTGCCATTACCATAATAGTACACGTCGTATAGATGGCGCAGTCGGTTAACTATGTGGCTATCTTATTAGCTCTTCCAATTTTTAGCTCCGATGAGGAGCTCTAGAAATAGCCGGCTGATTATACCATTTTTGTGCTGATTGCTTAACAGACCATTTTTGTATGGGGTCCCGTTAGCTATTTTTTTCCGTACGAAAGATTTACATGAAACTCCACTCGGGCCGTCTCAACTAAATCGACTCGAAAATCTCTCTTCTCTCTAGCCTTAATTTGGTATTACTGTACCTATCTACACTTTATAAAAGGGGGTACTAGCTTTTGTTGTTACACTACAGTTAGTTTACATGTACATCCCATAAATCCGTAATATTTCATAGGCCTACCGTAGGTGAACTTTAGACAGAGCAATAATAGTAAAACTCGAGCGTCACGACATTGCGAAGTGTCTGCTCTTGTTCCTCGTATCGAACTTGAGTCGAGTAATCCGAGATGGCTCGAGTGAAGTTTTACGCAAATGTTTTGTACATAAAAAAAAATCGCGTGCCGTTAGGGCTAATAATATTTACTGCCTCTATTATATTGTCCTCATCGGAGCTTTCGAGATTACGAGACCTTGTTAATATAAAAATGCACAATGTGTTCTTCCATTTCATTAATTCATTAAACCGTAGGTCATTTAATATTTCCTTCCAACATCAGGTTGTGACTCGGGCAAGTTTGGTGCGGGTTGTAGTCAGGATTGCCATTGTACGTCAGGAACTTGTAACCAGTATACTGGAGAGTGTACGTCAGGTACTTGTGCAACTGGATGGTCTGGAAGTAACTGTCAAGGTAGTGTTTTAAAAATAACAGTTGTTATTACTGGTAAAAGTATAATGTCATTCTAATAGTTTGTAATACTAGCCATTGTATGTATAGAATAATTTTATTCTTTTTTCTGTAAATCAATAAAAAAAAAATCCACCGATCATTTTTTTTTTAAATCTTTTCTTTCATCCATGAATGTACATATTGGAATTGTTAAAAATCTGGATTTATAAAGACGTTCAACTAAACATCATTATGGCAAAATAAAGATCATAGCTGAGCTCTCTGTGGGAGCACAGTAGCTTAAAAACCAAGAGGTATAAATAAAGATATAAATATTATTTGGGCTAAGATTAATTATAAAAATTAGGAAATGCAGCAACAACTTTGTATATCATGCTAGTGTAACGTGAATGAATAAATTACCATAAACCATGTACCGTATGTTGTAATATAATCAGTATGGATGTAGCGTTATCAAATAAATATTAGGAATTGATACATGATACATAAATGAAAGGCAGACTAATCTTAACTTTGGGTAATATTTTAATTAAAAACTCGATTGGAATTTAAATATTGCTGATATTGAAGCACTATAGTACAACTGGTATTAGTTTTGACAACCCACAATGTGAAAATATTATGTTATATAGATTAGTGATTCAAATCTTACCTCCTGAACATGGAAACAGGCTTTTTTGTAATTATACCTCATTTTTGTGATCATTTTCATAGAACCTAAGCACCTGTTTATTCACCGTATTCCCGTGTTTGTTTGTTTGTTTTGTTGTTTTTTTTGCTTTTTCAGTTTTTTGCAGTTTCGTTCATATTTTCCGTTAATAATAGTTAAAGAGCTAATAACTCTGTAAATGATTAATTATCAAGATACATAGAAATACTGTATACAAATAATAATTAATTTGGTCAATTAATATCTGTTCAAACTCCGATGGTAACTTCCGTTCTTTGGTTATGGTAAAAATATACATCAATTTCGCTGTAGTTATTACAGTCTCATTGCACATTTTGAAGGTCACACATGCATGCAAAGTATATGAAAATGTTGGCTTTGTACATGCAGCAGTCATAGTTGCTTTGTAATCACACTGGAATTGTTTGAAATTAGCTTATTTAGAATTCGCAGAGTGATGGGAAGAAGGTTTATTGATTTCCGTGCATCGGTCTTCACAATTCCTTTAAGAGCATGCTTAATCAAAGGTGATGATGTGTAGTCAAAGACGCCAATGATTTTGTGTGAAAATGAGATAGCGGGTAGGTATCACCGAATTGTGGTATTACATAGCTGCCCCACCATGACAAAAGGAAGTAACTGACAATTTTTCGAGTTTTTTTAGTCACTATCAAAGAACTAATAATTTGTACATATTGATATATTTGAGTATGTTCAATCCCACTAATTAACAAGTAATTAGCAACACAAAAAGGAAGTAAGAGACTAAAAATACAGTAAAAACCACCATAAAAGGAAGCAGGGGACAAAATCAACATGCTCCATATTCCTTAATTACTCAAAGCAATGCAAACATCATTGCTTCCTTTTGTCATGGTGGGGCAGTTAGGCCGCGGATGAAAGATGTGTTGTAAAAAGCCACAAGGACAATGCCGTGGCTGGGAGGTGTGTTTGTAAATCCGTATTTCTCACAAAGAGTGCAAATTCCTGAAAGAATCTTTGGTATACTTGTGTCTGTCCCGTTTTAGATGATCCATGGAGCAACAGCTGCAACTGATGACGAAGTTTTCCGGCAAGAGATGCGTTGGAATGCTTGATGGAAGCGGCGACATTCCACATGTCTGTAGTAATTCTGGGGTTTCCTGTTGGCAAGATATTTTGTCACATAAAATATTACGTACCCATGTAATGTGTTTTGCATGGAGTTAGATATTAAACTGTACAAGTTAGAACAATGCACGCAAAATGTGCATAGCATGGTGGTTTTTAGACGTTTGTTTGTTAATGACCGTCGTTACTATTGGTATTGCTCTAAAATGGAATAGGGTTAGGGTTAAACACCCCTGTACAAAAAATGGAATAGGGTTGAGTAAAGCACTGTTCTAACAATGAAATAGGGTTTAAACACCATGCTCTAAAATGGAATAATGGATTAAACACCCCTGCTCTAAAAATGGAATAGAGTTGGGTAAATTAAGCACTGTTCTAACAATGAAATATGGTTAGGGTTAAAAACCCTCACTAAAAGTAGAATACGGTTGGGGTTGAGTACTGAAATAGGGTTAAACACCATGCTCTAAAATGGAAAAAAAATTAGGGGTAAACATCCCTGTATTAAAAATGGAATAATAGTTTAAACACCCCTGCTCTAAAAATGGAATAGGTTAGGGTTAAACACCCCTGTACTAAAAATGGAATAGAGTTAGGGTTAAAAACCCCTGAACTAAAAATGGAATAATGGATTAAACACCCCTGCTCTAAAAATGGAATGATCGTTTAAACACCGGCCCCCCTGCTTATAAATGGAATACTCCCGCTCCTCATTTTATGCAAATTGATTGTCACGTGAAACAGGGTTCTGATTGTTCGAGAGCCTCCCAAATAAGGACAAATTTCCCTGGTTAGACGTACACTACTCACGAAGTGCAAGTTTTTTTTTTTTTTTTTTTTTTTTTTTTTTTTTTTTTTTTAATCTTTAAAATGGAGAAGAAAAGGAAAGTATATTCAGATCTAATTCTCAGAGTATAATTTCCGGCCATCTAGAGGTTCCATAATAATAATTTTTTTGGACCTCAGTCTGAGGTGGTTTATTTTCTCCCCTGGCCATTCGAATCCACCGCTATAAAATAAAATGGGTGTGGTCAACATAGACATAGCCTGCTCGCTGGACTTCTTCTATCAAAATAGGGGATGCATTCATTGAGCCTTCGCTGTCCTGTAGAAATCTTGGAGTTGTTATGGACTATTCCCTTAGTATGTCTAATCAGGTACACAACATCTGTAAAGCCGGGCTTCATTCAATTCGTAGAATTTGGAGTATCCGGAAGTACCTTGATCCTAGATCAACTGAGATTCTCGTTCATGCTTTTGTAACATCAAGGATGGATTGTTGTAACTCATTGCTTTATGGATTGCCAGCTAAGGATATTTCAAAACTTCAGCGAGTTTGTCACTTTAAGCCCAATTAGGGATCATATCACTCCTGTGTTAAGGCACCTTCATTGGCTTCCTGTAACACAGAGAATTACTTACAAGATTTTATTATTTGTTTTCAAAGCACTTCATGTGTAACAATACACACGATCGAGGAGTACTCCCGACAGAGGAGAGCTGTGAGCTGTATGAATGATGTATTTTTCCTTATAGAGGAGAGCTGGGGAGATAATTAAAGTGCAAACACGATTATGAAATGTAGGAACGAATGCTTCTCCCGATAAAGGAAAAGTAAGTTGTAGGGATAGAAGCGGGCATTAGTGGTTGAAATAAAGTAAGCACAAAGGTGAAATGTATTGAAGAAATGTTTCCATGGGAACATATGTACAATCTCGGAACAAAAAAAAAATATACGTGGGCGCGCACTTTGTGTGTATAGTAACGTAACGTAACGTATTTTTATTTATTTATTTATTTATTTTCAATTTTCCAAGGGGCTGTAATAAACCTAATAAAGCATTTAAATTATAAAAATGAGTTTCTAAAAACTAAAGTTATGTGAATCCCTTATCGAAAAAACTCATTATAATGCTGATCCAACATAATGTCCACTAATTATAATGAACATTTTCATATCTGGGGTTGGCATTGATCTAATGCCATTAATTAACTAATAATGAATCATTAATTAATTACACGTAGAGCGTCGAAAAGAGCTTTTCGGAGAGACTTTATATAATTATTTCGTCCTAATACAAGTGTTGTGGTGTATCCCATCTTTTGGCCATTCAATTTTGCCAGAATCCTTCGTGAGCGTGATAGGTCAAACAATTGCAATAATCTTTAATGATCTGAATAAATGTGTGCACTTTTGTAATTAAATTAAACAATTGATCTGCTGCTGGTAAAGATTGTGAATTGCCTAAATCATTGTAAACCTACCACCGAAATCTAAAATTATATGATCGGGCTTGATCTCAATGGGAAAGCCGACCTATTAGTAACCCTGAAGTGCCTTGAAGGCGTATTTCCCTAAAATAGTGGTAAATGTTATGTTCTTGGGGAAGTGGCGGCGTCAGCGGGGTGGCAGGGGGCTTAAGCCCCCTACCGGACATGTCAAGCCCCCCCCCCTCCGGACAGAGCTCGTCGGGCAGTCAGACCATAAAACATATAAAAATAGGACCACACCTAGCCAACACATGTCTGTCACAGTCTGAGAGTGCCATTTCCGGCCATCAAGAAGGTTGATAATCTTTAAAAAAAAAATCTCATTTGGGAAGGGGTACCCCCTCTCAACCCCTTCCTCCAGCTCGAGCCTACGAGCCCCAGTCCCCCTGTCGGACAACTTACCCCTCCCCTCCCCCCCCCAGAAAATATATCCTAGAGCCGCCACTGTCTTGGGGTACTACGTCTGGGCGTAGGCCTAACTGATTCGAGAAACAGTCGTTGTTATAGGCCATGTGATCTCAGCCAAACCTAAAAAAAAACTATGTCCTAATAATTATAAAAATTTCAAGATAAGGTAACTATATGTTATGGCAGTTTAAAAAAACGCAAAATAATGAATGGTAACCGTTAATGGAGGTGATATTGTGATAGTTGGTAAAGAATACCTTCGAGTAAGTTGTTGCCTCGATTATGGGACCAAGCCAAAAATGATGAAAGGATGTATCGTCGCCACTTCCGAACATGGGACACTCCAATCATAATTTGGTTTTACTTAGCCCTAGGTACCGTCGACTTATAAAAACATGCGAGCCAACAATTATTAAAGTTCGCAAGTGGTCACCCGAAGCTGAAGAAGCCCTAATAACAGAGTTTGAAACAACCGATTGGAATATTTTTACTGATGAAGAAGATTTGAATGGTATCACAAACGCAGTGAGCGCCTACATAAACTTTTGTATTGAGGAATGCGTGCCAGCAGTAAAAACAGTTAAAATTTATCCTAATAACAAACCTTGGATAACAAAAGCCGTCAAATTACTTTTGTGTGAGAAACGGCAAGCATTTAAGTTGGGTGATACCAATCGTATGAAAAGACTGACAAGTGAGATTAAATCTGAAATTAAGAAACAGAAGAATATATTTAGGAAAAAAGTCGAACGAAACTTTAAGTCAAACAATATGAAAAAAGTCTGGCATGGTATGAAACTTATGAGTGGCTACACAAATGGTGGTAATATACCTACCCCAATTCCGAATGTAACAGTGCAATATGTAAATGAGCTAAATGAATTTCATAATCGTTTTAATGGTTATGATTTTAAGGAAGAGGAGAGGTCCTTGTTTAAGTCGTGTCGGGTCACTGAAGAGGACCCTAAATTCATTGTTAGTATTTCTGATGTTCATAATGAATTCATGAAACTCAATCCATCGGAGTCTGCTGGTCCAGACAAGATCCCACCACGAGTACTTAAGGTCTGCTCTCCTCATCTTGATGGTATTTTTACTTATATCTTTTTCTCTTATCATACATTCCCTGATCTCTGGAAACTTTCATGCATAATACCGGTTACTTGTATGAATGATCTAAGGCCCGTTGCGCTTACCTCTGTTGTTATGAAAACTTTGGAACGTATTATCTTACTAATTATGGAACCCTATGTGGAAAAGGTTTTAGATCCATTGCTATTCGCTTATCGATCATCACGTAGTACCAGCGATATACTCCATAAATTACACAGTCTATAATACTCACATCTTGATAATACAAATAAAGGCCATTCTGCACGTATCATGTATTTTAACTTTCAGTCGGCATTCAATATTATACAGCAACATGTTCTTGCGAGAAAAATGCTGGATATGTCGTTCCCCCGTCCAATTGTACGTTTAATTTTAAATTTTATTTGTGATAGGAAACAATTTGTGAAAATAAATGAAGTTGAATCCGAAATTCTTACCTCTGATACGGGTGTCCCCCAGAGTACAGTTAAAGCGCCTAAGTTATATTCATTGTATACTGCTGACTATAGATCATCTAGTGAGCTTTGCCCAGTTGTAAAATTCGCTGATGATACCAGCACAATCGGCCTCATTATCTCAGATAACGACACACATTATCGTAACGAAATAAAAAGATTTGTTGAATTTTGCGACAATAATTACCTACAAATTAATACTACAAAAACAAAGGAGATGATTATTGACTTTGAACCAAACATAAATTTCAATTTCAACCAATAATCATAAAGGGAGAAGAAATAGAAATAGTTGATAATTATAAATATCTGGGCATTGTTTTTAATAATCGATTGAGTTGGAGTGACCATATTGACTTCCTGTGTAAAAAAATAAATCCTAGAATGTATTGTTTGAGAACGCTATTTAAATTTAATTCCAGTGAACCTATGTTGCTTTCTTTTTATATATAGATCTGTTGTTTGTAGTGTTTGGACATATTGCCTTGCTTGCTGGGCTGGAAATGCTGCCGGAGTGGATAAAGGACGTATTGACATTTTCATCCGTCAGGCTTGTAAAATGATTGGTCTACAGTTGCCCTCCATTAGTGAGGTGTATCTAGAACATCTTCAGAAAACCTTCTATCGTATTGAGTTAGATACCTCTCATCCACTCCATCATGCTATTATTAAACAACTTAATCCAAGTGGTAGAATGAGGCTACTCAGAGCAAAAACAAACCGTTATGCGAAGTCATTTATCCCCTCCGGCATCACCCAGTTCAACAAGAAGTTTAGAAGATAATTCATTATCAATATAATAATATTAATAATAATTTTAACTGTATTAATTATGATAATGATAATAATAATAATAATAGTAATAATAATAATAATAGTAATAAGATTAATAAAAATAATCATAATTGAACAGTAATTCAATTATTTTATCGATGGTAGTCATTGTATTTTACTTGTAGTGACTGTTTTGTATGGTTTTTTTTTTAATATTTGTTTTACATTTTATAATATAATATGTGATGACGAGCAGAAGAACTTCCCTTGTGGAACAATAAAGTTATCTTATCTTATCTTGCTTCCTAAGCAAAAAAGTGATTGCCTGTCCTCAATCGTTGTATTTCTTCATAATAAACTGGAGTGAGTATTTAAAAACAAGAAAATCACCCAATAACGACTGTTAATTTATTGCTAATAAATGTAAGTTAATAATACAATATATTTTAAATGTCAGTACATTGCAGTTTTCAGTAGTCCTTTCAATTTGCAGCAAGGATGTGGATGCCATTTTTTAAAAACGAAGCGGGTTTTTTTTATGAATGCAGTATGTTTTATATACTACAATTGTTTTTTAAACATTTTATTACAGACCTTGTATTCTATTAGTCTTAAGTTAATAACAATATATCTATGTTTTGCTATTTTTTCATCTCAACGATTTTCTTTTTTGATTTTTTTTTTTTTAATTTCTTAATTTGTTCTTTTTGCAGTTCCAAGCACTTGTCCTGTTGGCTATTTTAACACACCTTGTACATCAATCTGCCATTGCCGTGATAATGTTGAATGTGATAGGAATACTGGTGTATGTAGTAATGGACTGTGTGCAAAAGGTTACCATACATATGATAATTTATTTTGTGAAGGTAAGTACAGAGAATGTATAAGAAACAGTTTAAAGCACTGTTTCTTCATAAAACAGTAGATCCAAATATTTGACTTAATGTACCTGGAACGCCCTCTGACGAGAATGTACGAAGCAATCGAAAACCAATACTGAACGTTTATATCTGTCTCTTATACACATCTAGATGTGTATAAGAGACAGGAAGAATATATTTAGCACCATATCTGTCTCTTATACACATCTAGATGTGTATAAGAGACAGGTTTAATACTGAAGTTTTCCTATTAAAGTTACGTAGCCAAACATTTCAATCATTATTAAGGTTATTAAAATTTGTTAGACCTCACTTTATTGACGTGATAATTTAGATTGACACAGTGTGTGACTCATGATACTACCGTACGTCACGTTGTTCGCTTGTGTTCCCGTATGCAGTCCTGATTTGCACAACACATCAAATGAATAATTTAGCGTACGTTATATTTTGAATTTCTGTCACAAATTGTACGCCTAATTGTAAAGTGTGACAATACGTGGTCTATAAAATAATCATGGCTGACGCAACGCACGACCGTAAAATCTGCCTAGCCATACAACACATATTAGACTTCAATGTTCCGCACCCACATTCAGAACGACATGAGCGGACGCTCAACAACCAACTATCCCATCTTTTCCAACTCTCACCAATTTGCCATGCCATTTTTGCATTGCCTTGGCACACACTAGTTTTTGCAGACTGTATATTGTTTGGATTTATAATATTATATAAATTATTACGTAGAAATAACAGGAGTAGGCTATGTGCATTTTCAGGACGTGGAAATTTGTGAGAAAAATTGGTGCATTGTTAATTAAATTCTCCGAAAGTAAATTTGCAGAGGCAAAAATGTTTACAGCTACAATAAGTATTCAAAGGAAAATAACATTTTTTTTATTCTCCGAAAAGTCAATAGTTGTACATTTCAAAGAAAAAAATTAGCATTCCTATCCTTACAAATACTACTTAGTTTTGTTATATTTAAAATATCTTTACCTGTTGTGTGTACATTATAAACCCTATTTAATTTTTACAGGGGTCGTCTATTTTTTTCGTGAATATTTTTCTGGATAAACTTATTAGAGTATATTTCCATTTTTCCTAATTGAGCACTCACAATGAAAAGAAACTGCCCGTCCCTACTGATTTTAGTAAACTCTGTTTTGCCAGAGACAATTAAGTTATTCTAATTAATGGTCCTACTTCTCAATATGTACAAAAAGTTTTATCATTTTTTATTTTTAATAGCCTGCCAATCTGAGAGCTATGGTTACTACTGTGCTTCTACTTGCAATTGTAATTCTACCTCATGTCACTATGTAACTGGATGTAATGGCGGTTGCCACGATAATTGGTTGTTAAACTCCTGCACTACAGGTAAAGAAAATCCACATTAATGATTTGTTTAAAACAATGTTCATTTCGAAAGTCATGGTAATAAATAGTAAACCAGATAAATCTCTAATTTACCTAAACGTTCAGTACCGTACTAGTTATGAACTGAACATGGATAGGGGCATTCTTCTAGACAATAACATATAATGTGCTCAGTCGACTATCACCTACATTTATCTCATTATTATCATGTCTATGTTATACTTTAATATTTTATTATTATTAGCTTTATGAATGTTGGCAAAACAGTTAGCAGCCACTGAGTGTGCCCTGAACTTCAATTTTATCCCCAGTCTTCTTGCGTTTTAACACGAGTGTTAAAATGTAAATTTAATAGCGCACGTTTTCTGAATGAGACATTTAAGTCGTTGGTCTCGTGTGCAATGTGACCCAAGATCCAAGCAAGAAATTTGCCTTTCAAATCTTCTAAAAAACCAGAAATTTTCTCACCACTAAAACAGCTTAACTCCACAAGTATTATACTGGACGATGTGTGGAGAACAATAGCTTGATAATGAACATGTATCCCAGTATAAATGACAATTAAATGATTTAATTCATTTTAATATCTTGGGTACATATCCTGTCAAAACTGTTTAATTTCTTTAAGCCTCATAATTAGACTTAGTTTACTGAACCAAACAAGTTTTAAATAATATTAATTATTTTAAAAAATTCAGTCTTACAAGGGGCAATATATTTTCATCATAATTTATATGTTTTTGTATATATTTTATTCCTGCTTCTTGCTATTGTAGGAATCTCTGCTTCTTCTAACACAAAAGTTAATCCAGGTCAGATTTCTACATTCCAATGTGACATTCAAGGTAATGTGACTGGTGTTACCATCCAGTTCCTTATTGGTAGTCAACCTGCTGCAGAAACTGCACGCACACAAGCAAATGGGGTTACCAGGGTTACATTTACCGGTGAAGCAAATCCTACTGTTACATATATCTGCAGACTTGCTAGGGATCCATATACAGCATATGCAGATCATTCACTTAATCTCTTTGGTAAGTCTTTTTTTTTTTTTGCATTATCTTGTATTATTATGTAATTAATGTTAAATATCAGTGGTTTGTCGTGATTGTAACGAATGGATTATTAATCATTTTGAATTTATTGTACGTTTTTTCAACTAGCATTACCAACGTATACTGGACAACCAAGCTCACTGACGGTTACTGGATCATCAGTGGAATTGAGATGGAGGAACTGGAGTACCAGTAGCTGTCTCTTATACACATCTAGATGTGTATAAGAGACAGCTGTTAACGTATTGCTAATAGATGTATATTAATAATACAATATATTTTAAATATCACTGCATTGCAGTTTTCAGTAGTCCTTTCAATTTACAGCAAGGATGGGGATGCCATTTCTTTTAAAAACAAAGGGTTTTTTTTAATGAATTTTATATACTATAATTGTTTTTTAAACATTTTATTACAGACCTTGTATTCTATTAGTCTTAAGTTAATAACAATATATCTATGTTTTGCTATTTTTTCATCTCAACGATTTTCTTTTTTGATTTTTTTTTTTTTTAATTTCTTAATTTGTTCTTTTTGCAGTTCCAAGCACTTGTCCTGTTGGCTATTTTAACACACCTTGTACATCAATCTGCCATTGCCGTGATAATGTTGAATGTGATAGGAATACTGGTGTATGT